CACATCTTCTTTATGTCTGGTTTGTGTTTATTCAATCAAAAAAGCGTTTTTGGCAAAATCAAATCATGGTATGCTTGGGTGAGCTTGGATCTTTATGCAATATTTCCCTTCTTCTTTCCTTTCCTCTAATGGTTTTCAATTGTGTGTGAAGTTCATAGCTTCCTCCTTTATTAAATTGCAAGAAAGGGTGTTTTTTTCTCACCTATGAGATAATTGACTGCGATATGTTCCGCTAATAAGCTAAGAATGAATAGTTTTCCAACGTTTGGTCAGTCTTTTTTTTTTTTTTTTCCACATTAAGCAGTGGTTTCTTTATTCCATAGAAATGACAAGTTAATTTTGGTTTCTTTTAAATGTCAGTCTCGATATTTTCTTGATCTTGCTATGATTTGAAACAGTGGGATAACTCAGAAGATCGGCCAGGTCTTGTTGGTTTGGGGTTTGCAGCTGTAGTTGCATTTTGGGCATCATCGAATCTGATTTCAGTAATTTCTGGACCTCTCTCTTCTTTACGTTGTTAACAGGAAATGATTTACTCAAATAAACAAGAGTTGTTGCAACTGTAGATAGGATCGATCTTATATATACTAATACCGACTAGAATCATCTGGGTTTCTTTACTAACCCATTTTTCAGATACCTTGGGGTTGTGTTGAGAAATCAAATTCAAAGTTTCCACACCTAGTGATATTGCTCCAACATAGGATAGATTTTTTAAGAAGACAACCAACACAGTAGTTTAGAGCAATTGGATTTGTCTACATCTTATGGTATTATTTGCAGATTTTTTTACTTTGCCACATACATACACTGTTTTCATCAGTGAACTGACTTTCAGCTTAGCAGGAGTTCTGACGGTTTAATGCCCTTCCCCCCTGTTTATGTGTATAGGCCATCGACAAGTTGCCGCTTATCCCAAGTGTTCTAGAATTTGTTGGAATACTTTATTCTTCGGTAAGTATGTGTTACATGTATGATGTAGTTGGTTGCTAAGGATGCTCAAGCAGGAGAAAGTTTTTATTTAAGTTTTCCTTTGGTCATAATTGTTGTCCTGGCAAATGCAGCAGGGCAACTTTCACATATGTAATCTTTATTTACTCTGTTCACACTTACCTCTTGTTTCATACAAATATTAACTTGCCTCTCTCTCTCTCTCTCTCTCTCTCTGTGTATTTGTTTCAGTGGTTTATATATCGATATCTCTTATTCAAGCCTGATCGGTAAGAGAAAATCCGATGACTTACAATTTTATTTTGCTTTGAAAATAAGAAAGATTACCTTATGCATGACTTTTAGATTTAGATGGTGCAACCAAATCTTTGTGTAACTTCAGTTGTAATACAAGCAGATGCTGTTCAGTTGAGTGTGTTCATAGTTTTCTACTAGGAACTCACCTGGATTTTCTTCTTTTGTCCACAGGGAAGAGTTTTTCCAAATCGTCAACAAATCCATATCAGATATCTTGGGCCAGTGAATTTCTAATCAATCCCAACTGAAATTGTGGCAGATGTGTAATTCCAGATATGAGAATGTATTTTGGGGAAGGGATTGACAGGAAGTGGGTGGAGTGAAAGAGCAATTTGTACAACATTTGCTCACATTTTAATGTGGTGCATAATTTCCTTCTCTCTTGGTTTCCATCTTTCATTGGAGAACCCTACTTGAAGTTGACCCAGAAAGCACATCCTCTCATCTGGTCACCAAAAAAAATAGAATTAAAACCAAGTAGCTTAGCGTGATTTAATCTGGAACCAAATGCATGAACCATTTGAGCCTTAACAAATTATGGTAAATGATAATATAATTATGAAGGGTAACATATTCAGAAGAAGAAAAGCATTGAAAATTCAGTTATTAATAAGAGAACTTGTTTTCCAAGTCCTTCATAATCGTTTCTCAGCAGCTGCTCTTGTATCTCCTCACCTTTCATCATTTGAATTTTCAACTAGCAAATCAAGCTTCTCATCTATACACATCTTGGGTGAGCCTTGTCCCAACAAGAAATGCATGTATCTCTCATCTTTTACCTCATGTTGATCACAAAAACTAATCCGCGGGGAAAATTACCATTTCTACGAGTGGGAACATGTAGAGAGACTAGTGGTGGAGCTTGTAGCTCAAGATGGTTAAGAACAATTACCCTTCTTTGCTATGGTTTGTATAAAATTAAAAAAGAAAAGAAAAAAGGAACTGCATAATATAACAAATTAGTTGGGTTTTTTTATGCGATTTTATTGGTTGGGTTAACTTATAAATATTTTGGGATTAATGGCACCCAAAAATAACTTATTTTTAGCAAGCTAGGACAACAAACGACGTCGTACGCTTTTCATCGTACTCGGCACTTAAAATTCACTTCACAGAGCTGTCAGAATTCGGATCAACCCCCCATTGTCCGTCTCTTTCCACAAAACCACTCTCTAATTTCACCCTTCGTGAAACCAACCGCGAATCTCACTGAAGCCTCCTTCTTCAGCTCAAAAAGCATACGCCATGATTTGAATCACCAGGAATTAATCGGACCACCCCAACCAGGTTCATTTCTCTTTTGCCTTTTTCTGATTCGACCTATTTGGAGTCGGATCTCGATCAGTTTTCAAATTTGATTTCAGTTTATGGTTGGTTCTTATAATTGAATTTGAATTGAATCCGATTCGGTGTTTTGTTTAAAGAATGGCGTGGTTCAGTGGGAAAGTCTCTTTGGGGAACTTTCCCGATCTCGCTGGGGCCGTGAATAAGCTCCAGGAGAGCGTCAAGAACATCGAGAAGAATTTCGATAGCGCCCTTGGGTTCGAAGAAAAAGAGAAGGCCGAATCCGGTAATGAAGGTACTTCTCAAGCTCACACATTGTTCATATGTATCGCTCTGTCGCTTTTTTTTTTTTTTGGTGGTATTTTTGTTAATGATAATTATAGTATTGATTACTGGGTAGAGAATGAGCTACATTTTATGCTTCATGAAGTAAAACGGCTGAGCAACTCAAATTTGGTTTACACAGCCAAGGCAAAAGGAAAATACTAATTTTGGAGCTTATATATGGTGGTTATTCAAGTTGCAGTTTCTGTTAGTTGTAAATCATGATTTCCTTAGCGTATTTAATTGCATTGTGTTTGTAGTTTCGGGTAGAACAGAGTTTTCAATGATAGGATTTATTTGGAAAAAGGAATTCTGGTAGTAATGCTGTGTTCTGTATATTTGCATGAAAGTTGAAAGTAAGATGTCCCCTCTATATGTGTGACAGCTTCAGGATTATGGCCTTCGTCTACTGAAAGGAAATTGCTATTTGATCCTGTTATGTCCTTTATGGGACAAACAAATGAGGGAAGTAGTGTTGATTCATCACAGAAAGCTGAGTCTTCAGAGCATCCGCCAAAGGTTGACAAATCATCAGGGGAATCTGAATCTCCACAAAAACCATCTACTGTTGAGGCCAAGGAAGGGGTCAAAACAGAAACTTTACAACACTCTTCAACTGAACAGATGGCTGATAAGGAGGAAACTGAAGTTGTCAAGGAAGAAACAGATGATAAGCATGCTGTGACGGTGGAGGAAACAAAGACTCTGGTAGCAGAGCCTGAAAAATCTGAATCTGAATCATCTTCACTGCCAGTTGAGCCCTTTGAACCCACTGCTAAGAATGATGGCCCATCAGAATCAGTGGATTCTCAAGATGACAACAAGATTTCAGTAGTGGGACCCTCAGTAAATCCAGAAACATTGCAGGGTAAGTCAGCAGCTGTTGAAGTAGATCAAGTTGAGGAGGGTCATACTGTTCTTCTGCGTGAGGCACATGATGTTGATGTGCATGAGACTGTGGATGAACAAAGGACACAAGTAGAGCAGAACGATGGACATATGACTCAGGCTGGAGAGATTGTTGAAACAGTTGCTATGGTTGAAGGTGAGACTCCAACTGATAGCCAGCCTGGAGGTTTGACTGAGCCCTCCAGTTTACACTCTGCTACTACTGAGGAAATTCATAGTGGTAGATCTTCTACCAATCAACCACCGGGTGTAAATCCTTCTGATGATGCTTCAGATGCGGTTTCTGAATCGGTTTCAAAAGAACATAATGCCATTGTTGAGGAACCTGAAGTTGAGCAACAAGCTGATGATAATGAAGCTGATGTTCAAGAGCAACATCTGAGCTCAGGGGAAAATGTGTCTGACTCTTCAGTGATTGAATTGGAGAAGGTGAAGATGGAGATGAAGATGATGGAAGCTGCATTGCAAGGTGCTGCAAGACAAGCCCAGGTACATGATGAATGATTAGGTAGCATCTTATTTGAGAGCTCATAAGATCACAACTGTTTATTATTATCCCTGTTCATTTAGTGGAACACTTGAGACAATACTACTGAACTTCTTGACTGGATTTCTTTAATTTAGTAGTGCTGTCTACATATATCGGAGGTTTATGAAGGTTGCTTAGTTAACCCGAACACCTTTCCTCTTGCAGATGGTGTGTGTCTGTGTCTGTGTCTGTTGATTTAGGAAAATAGGAACATTTTGTATTTCTGTATATGGTAATTAAGTTAAAGTAGCGACAAATACAAGAGAAGAATTATTATACTCTTTCTTCCTTGTGGATCTCTCGGGGTGCAGTTATGTTACATTGTATGTATATCTACAGTTCTGAATGTCTGATATATTTGATTCCTTTTCCAGGCAAAAGCTGATGAGATTGCAAAGTTTATGAACGAAAATGAGCAATTAAAATCTGCGATCGAGGATTTGAAGGTATGCATTTTGTAATATTTTTATACCTTCATTTGAGTAGATAAAATAATGACTTGTCATGCATGTTTTACTTTGATTTTTCACTCTTGGTGTATAATGCACTTGTATTTGCTACCATCTTCCATTTATAACCCAGCATATAGGCAAATCATGGAAATTCTTATAAGGAGGTAGTTGCCCCCGTGGCTTGTCACTGAATGAAGCATCTGTGGAGAATTGTTGGATGAAAATATCTTTGCTATATTCATGCTACTTCCTCTTGTGGGTGGTTTATGTTGAGTTAATATTTAAATTTTAAAATGCATTCTTCTTTCAATTTTGATTTCAATGTTTTCTTCAAAATTGTTTGTGTGGAAATGTAAAATAAAGGCATAGATTCTAATTTGACTATTCATTTTGCACAAAAGCATTCCTGATGCTTGATCTTTGTCAGTGTAACAATCATGTTATGGAATTATAAGTTTGCACATACAATTTGATGGTTGTCTCATTATATGTTTCATGTTTTGGAAAATTTCTGGTATTTCTTGAAACCAACCATGGTTGACTAGTTCACATTCTCATTATTAATTTTTTTTTTCTTTCCCAATTTGCTTTATCAGCCATATAGTATTGTAATTTTAATAATTATTTTTCTTATAGATGTTCACATATTAACTGGTGAAAATAATTGAACAGAGAAAATCCAATGACGCAGAAGTCGAGTCACTGCGAGAGGAATACCATCAAAGGGTTGCAACACTTGAAAGGAAGGTAGGTCTTCTCATAAAGTCTTGTTTATAATCGTGCTTGGATTGATCTAGGTGTTATATGTGCCCCATTATGTTTGTGATGAAATTGGTACTTGTTTATTTTTAATTCAGCTCCTGATAATTGGAGGGGCTATGCCAACTTATGATTGCAGGTGTATGCTCTTACTAAGGAAAGGGACACGCTTCGGCGGGAGCAGAATAAGAAAAGTGATGCAGCTGCTCTTCTGAAGGAAAAGGATGAAATAATTAATCAAGTTATGGCTGAAGGTGTCTTTCTGTCCCTGTCTGTCTCTGTTTCTCTTGAGATGCTCAATATGTTCTACATATTTTGTGCCTCAGTGTGTATTTCAACCTAGCCAATGTTCTATCGTGGATGCAAGGAGGGTTTCTTTATGCAATCATATCAATAATTATGGAAATTCCTTCATTTATGCATTTTTATGTACCAGGTGAAGAGCTTTCAAAAAAGCAGGCTGCTCAAGAAGGACAAATTAGGAAATTAAGGGCTCAGGTATGCTAGCTGGATTATTCATTGTCTGATTTTGTCATTCTTTAATCCTTTCACTGCTAGGTATTCTTATCTTGTTTCTGTGAATACTAGATCAGAGAGTTTGAAGAAGAGAAGAAGGGGTTGATTACTAAACTTCAGGTATTCATTTATGTTAGAATCCTTAAAATTGTGGTTCTCTGATTTAGTTTGATAAAGACAACTCTTTCAGTCATCATAAAATTTGAAATGACATTGCAGTTACAGCACATAAATTGATGAAGCACTTGTTTTACTTTGTTTCTCAAAGCTGCTTGGCCGAAAGCTTCCATATTGGATAATGGATTATCCCACAAAGGATTTCTTGATCATATTTCTGTTTTTATGTCACCTGCTTTCTTAGTAGTCAATTTCATAATATCTTAAAACAGTCAACTATTTAACCCCCCGGAACATTATTATAATAGTTTATATGTTGTCTTACAAGCATATTCTAATTTAAATATCTGGAGGAACTACTGCCAAGGATATTATACATATGGTTAATAAATTTACATCTACTGAATTGGCCTGTGGTGCAAAATGCCTTTCATTACTAATATGTAAGTTTGTGGTTTACCTTCAGGTAGAAGAAAATAAAGTGGAGA